ACCTGCAATGCTTTCAGGCAGCCGGTTCAGCAACAAGTAGGCAGGAAACCAAAGCTAATTGATTATTTTCTTTAAAAAAAAGGCAGTACTTGATTAGTAATTAAGAAAAGACTGCTTTTGAATTCTTAATTAGGGCTATGAATTATCCATATGCTTTGGCTTCTTCAGGGACAGGAGATAAGATAAGCTTTTGCATGATCAGATGGTCTCTCAATCTCTCTCATACTTGTACTACTAGTCTACTACTACTCTTCTCTCTTGTCATCTCTTTACTTTCCCTACAGCCCTAGTGTAGGACCAAAGCTAAGGATAGAGCATCAAAGCAATGCAACCTTTGCTGCTCTTCAGTAAGCTTGCAAAGCTATTCACTGGCTGCATTATGAGATGGTCCCTGAACTGTACCTTGGAGGGCAAAAGGGCAGACGTTGTATACAGTCCAAGATCACCTGACACACACCACTGTGAGTACCGGCTTATCGACGCGGCAGCCGTTGACGCTTTCAGATATGAGATTTTTTTTTTTTTTTTGCTTCCCTTCTGTCCCGGTCGATCTTGAATCGATAGAGCAATGTAGCCTTCAGCTAGCTAGCTAGGGTTCGGAGTTCTCCAGAGTGTTTCCTCTTCAGACTTGAATTGGGTCTCTTTCTCCCTTTGGTCTCAATCTCAGTAGCCTTGGTACTAGCTATATGTCTGAGGAGTCTTCGAGGTTTACAAAACCGACAAAAACAGATTGGTTTTCGCAAAAACCTCAAGACTTCTCGGGCCGGTTTGAGACACAAATCACTCAGTTTTCTAGTCAAATTAAAAAAAAACTAGATTATACAGTTTTCACAAAATTTGGTCGGATTTTACCATGAGTCAATGGTTTTCGTGGAAACCGATTAACCGAAAACCGCCTTGGTCCAATTTTTGTGAGCGGGTTCATTTTTGTGAACCCTGGAGGAATCAGCCTGTGTTGGCATTGTTCACAAGCTAACTAGTGGCGGAGCCAGGATCTTGACACGTCTAGGGCTCAAATTGAAGGCTAACAACTATCAATGTCAATTCGTACGAGGAAGTACAGTACAAGCACGAAAAAAAATGCAAGACTGGAATACAATTTCTAAATATGCACCGAAGTACAATAAAAGTATAGAATAAGTACAAGAGTAGACTAAAATTTTGTTAGAGTACCTAACACGACATATCTTCATAATTTTCACTCTTCATCAACAGAAGGTAGAGAACCTGAAGCTGAATCTGGAAAATGATATTATATAATGTAAGTGATTATGAGAACTTAATTATTTGTAGATTACAAAGCAATGCATGACATACCTCTAGGTAATTTGTACTTGCGCGTCCTCAAAGCATGATAATGTTCTATAATCTGACGATCTTCAATGCTAGTAAAAACATCCCGCTCAATATAGCATATCATGCAGTGATTCATCCATTCATCATTCATCTTGTTCGGTGATGCGGTGTGATGTGCGATAGAGAGGAGGTGGGATTAGGGTTGGCTTCTATTGGGCTGTGATGGGCTAGTTATTGGGCTGAGAGATGTGGGGGCTGAAACAAGCCATGTGTGAGGCTAGGCCAGACGAGTAGGGCTGGGCTATAGAATTTGGGAAAATCTAAAAAAATAAGTAGGTACTAGTCCACTAAATTTTTGTCACGAGTAGGGCTTGGGCCCAAGCTGCCCTAGGCCCAGTTCCGCCCCTGGTGCTAACGATGTCTTGGGAAGATTCTTTATATTTTGGATTAATGCGAGAATAAGACTTTACATCAATGATGCACATGGCTAACATGAAACATGTGCAACATCGTAAGAACAGAGGAAGGGGACAAGACAAACCTCTCACCCCCTTTGACCGGTTATAAAATAAAATCATCTAGCTCTCGTAAATTCTACTTATAGGTGTCCACTCGTAATGGAAAGAGAAACCCTACTAACCAACTCAAAGAGTGGCTTTGCTTTAGCTATACTTATATACTAGTTGATTTCCCACGCATTGCTGCGGGCTTAGAAGAATAACCAAAATATGAGCCATAACACCAGGAATTGTCTATTTATTACTTCCTCCGTTTCACAATGTAAGTCATTCTAGCATTTCCCACATTCATATTGATGGAGTGTCTAGATTTATTAGCATCAATATGAATGTGGGAAATGCTAGAATGACTTACATTGTGAAACGGAGGAAGAAGCAACAATTTATTTAAAATACATTGCAATATGGGTAGCCTGTATATGATTCGCTTAGTGGCCGTACACATGACTGCGTTGATGAAAAATTGATACTCTTTCAACCACCTAAAATCCTACAAATAAAAGGTATACTTACAAAATTATATGTGAAACATGAAGTGGACAAAATAATTAGAGAAGCCTTCTCGGGGCTATGGCGTTTTGCTGAAACCAAACCTAGCAGTTGCTCTATTGGAGGAGAAATGTATAGTTGATAAACTATTGGCATGGATGAGCGAAAAAAGGTTGAGGCAGTAGAGACTCGAGCCTATAGCAAAGATGTATGTGTGCATACATGGTCAACCGGTGCTAATGGGTTGATATGGAGGAACAGGGTAAGTGAAGGAAAGTGCGAGCATGCATAGAAAGATGAGTGTGTTCAGCAGGAGAAACAAATTTATAAGTACATTGTGGACCGTTTGCGTTCTCGATGGGCCGGTTCCAGGTGCATCATGCATGTTGATATAACAACAATTAATTGCCATTGATGTGCATGTTTAGAGGATGAATTAGAGGTGCTAGGGTACTTTGATGAGTCTTGTCTTTTCAGATGCTCATCCTGTAATGGGGATAAACCACTCATTAAACATGGTTTAGAACGATTCACGATGGAGATGAATCGGCCATGCCAGGTCGATGGGAGATGGTGGTCATTCGCGGTGAGCAGAAGATGATCGCTGGTTAGATATTTGGAATCGGACCAATTAAGAGCAAGTCGAGGCCGAGGAGACGATGAGTCAAGGTCGTTCGCAGACACGCGCCGTGGTTCTTCGTGTAGGGATGATGGGCCGCGCGGACCGCTACTCTGGAGATGGGCTCCGCAGTCTTACTGGGCCGATTGGAGGATGTGCGGGACTGAAGATGAGTCTAGCTGGGCCGACCCAGCAATTTGGACCTTTTTTCTCGTAGATAAATGAAGATCCAATAGTGTATATCTGATGTACATATTGATCGAACGGCTGATATATTATTGATAACGTGACGAACTGAGAATGCAGCTTTGGGTCTTAATTTTATAGAAAGAAGGGATTGGTCCTCCATCGCTACATATTGAGCGTGAAGTCCAATGATAAACATTTTTACTAGGAAATTAATTGAGTAGATCAAAATAAGTGGATTTAGGCCGGTTCTTTTTCGATTATTCATGGGGGGGGGGGGGTCTCTCGGGCCGAAATGTAGCCCGTCTATCCTAACATTGAGAATTAATTGGCATGTTTATATTTATGGCTTGTTTATTTTGTTGCCCAAATCAACCACACCAAATTTTGGCACATTTTTACATTACCAAAATTTGTTAGCATTGACTTTGGGCTCGTTTGGTAGGATTCCAACTCCTAAATTTAACTTCAAGAGTTGGGTCGAGAGTGGGTTGTGAGTGCGCTTTTTTTATTTTGAAGAAAAGGCAAAAGCTTTGCCTTCTATATTGATAGAGCAGGAGAAAAGTAAACAAACGGTATACAAAGTTATTTACAGTGCCAGATTGAAGACTACTAGCCCGCAAAAGGAGGGTCCCTAAGTGATATCTCCCAAAATACCTAGCTCTTGCAGGGTTGTGTCCCTAGTGTTAACCCATGCCCTTCCCTCCTCTTTGATTTTTTGCTAGAATTGAGTGATCCTTGTGTTGCGCTCGCACTAGATTTCCCAGGAAATTAGCATCACTAGGGTCCGGATTGGCTTTCGAGGTGTATTGGGAGACCCCACAACCATAGACCGCCAGTGTTCGACCGAATGGCAGTCCATCCTCTTATCCATCTATAGATCGGTAACTATGAGTGCACTTCAGCCAGCTCCACTTGATTTTAAGTGGAGCTGAAACTGTTTGATTGGACTCCAACTCTAAGAGAGATGGAGGTGGAGCTAGAGTTGTGTCAGATGAAACATTTGTTTGGGTTTACTTACCAAAACGAAGTTATGATAGTAGAGTTTTAAGAGAGGGAGCTTCTAGAATTATCAAAAATTGGTAAGTTTGTAATGGTTGAAGTGCTTTTAGTTTGTGGCCCAATCAAAAATTGGTAATGTCAAAATTTGGTAAGACTGAAAGTGCAACAAACTAAACATGCTTTAAGTTCACTACCCTAAAATTTGATTATTATTTTCCCCCGCACTTGAGCACATTGGAGGATTTGGCTCCCTTGCTCAGCCAAAAACACAGTGTATGACGTGTTGGTTTGCTGCCCGAACTTGCCATGCAAAATAAATGGTCAGATATTCTGGACAGAGAACCAGCAAACATTAGGTCAAACACATACCAAAAATTGACAATAATCCAAACAACCGTACTGTACCAAAACATTTGGCTTGTCAAATCTTCCCATTAACAATATTGGTTTGGATTGAAACTAATGTTGGCCCATACTGACGCAACCCTAAAAGTGAAAAAAATCGAATTACAAAAGGTTAATTACCCGACTATGCAAATGAACAAGTACCTGCGGCCTCTCCATTTACTTGCTGTATAGTCTAGAAACAAGAAACCAAAGCTTGTAGCAAAAAAAAGGAACCCGTTTGATTTATATTATCTCCTTGATTATGGGAATAAAATAAAAATAAATAAATCTAACAGATATAGCTTAAAATAAGTGGTCTAAGTAATACGGTATAAAAAAGTTCTTTTATGAAAAAATATTTTTCAAAGCATAGAGCAAACAATTCTTTCCAATAATCCGATGAATGGCTCTGTTGGGCTAGGCCCAAGGTTTACCAAACGGGCCGGGCCGGGCCCGTCTCGTCTCACCTCGTCTTCTTCCTCCAGCCGCCGCGCCCGCGCGCGTCTCGCCGGCGTCGTCTCCTCCCGCGCGCCACCCAAAAATAGCGCGAGAGAGCGAGAGAGAGAGAGAGAGAGAGAGTCCACGCATCCCGCGCGCCTCCTTTCCCTCCCGACCTCACCTCTCCGCGCTCCGATACGAATGCGCCGCGGCTTAAATCCCCCACATGGCCGTCTCCATCGCTTCGTTTCACCTCGCTTTCCATGTCCAGCAGCAACAATGCCGCCGCCGCCGCCGCCTCGCCTGACCCATGTACGTCTTCTTTCTCTCTCCCTTTGGTTTCTTGATTCGATTCAACGCTTTCTTTCTTGATTTCTTGGGTTTCTTGGTTTGATTTGGTTGGCGGTGCAGCGAGGCGGCGGGAGGACGTCGTCGGGTGGTTGCTGGCGCTGTTCCCGGACCTGCCGCTGCCGCCTCCGCCGGAGGCCACCGACGAGGACCTCCGCGCCGCGCTCGCCACGGGGAGGCTGCTCTGCGCGCTGCTCCGGAGGCTCTGCCCGGGGGCCCTCCTCGACGACGCCTCCACCGACAACGTCGGCAGGTTCCGCGCCGCCGTCGAGCGGATGGGCGTCGCCAAGTTCAGCGCCTCCGACCTCGAGAGGGTTCTTGCCCTAATCGCGCTGCCCCCCCCCCCCCCCCCCCCTTTTGCCGCCATGCCAAATTGACAAATTCCCCACCCATTTCTGATTGAGACACTGTTCCATCTAGGGCCAAATGACGGCTGTTGTGAACTGCATCCTTGCCCTCAAGGATCGGTTCGGATCGCGCGGCGGCGATGACCACCGGAACCCTGGTTTCCTGACCAGATGCGACAGCGAAGGGGGCCGGAAGCGCGTCGAATCCAAGCTGCAAAGGATGCTCACTAGCCCAATTATGTCAGGTATACCTGGAGTGGACAAACTGACAATTGCAACTGATTTTGTGATGGTGAATCATCCAATTGCTGGCTGAGAGAGAGACATCTTCTTGTCTTTTGCTTGTATTCAGAGCCATCCAGCCCTGTGTTAGGATCCGATCCGTATTCGCCGTTGCAGGTATTTCAGCTCAAGCAAGGAGGATATGCTGATCAGCTCGGTGGCAAATATTCAGACTTGCTGAAATCCACTAGCTTGGATGTAAGTGCATCTAATTATCCCTACTAGTAATGAGATACCATGTTTTACTTTAGAAAAGTTTTTACATTGTCACCCAATGCTGGCTTGTTGCAGAATGCACCTACGCAGTCACTTCTGGGTGTTTTCAACAGCATCCTTGATGAGAGCATTGAGAGGAAGAATGGACAAATACCTTATGTAGGCTTCTCAGAAAAGAAATGCAGTTAGTTTGTTCTTTCCAAATTTAAGTGATTTCATGTTTTTAACACCTTCCCTTGTACAAATGAATGTAAATGTTTCATTGTAGCGCATTGCTTGCTTGCTGAGGAAGGTCATACTAGAGATTGAGAGGCGCATTTCCACCCAGGCTGGGCATATACGGAACGTAAGATAAATATTTTCTATATGTGTTCTTATACCAGATTAGTCCTTTGTGATTTCTTACTTGTCTGCAGCAAAATAACCTGATTAAAGCTCGCGAAGAGAAGTATCAGTCAAGGATAAGAGTGCTAGAGGTGTTAGCTGGTGGGGTAAGTGGGCAAACACATGTAAACTCCAGCAACTTCTCTGAGCCATCTATCTTGACTTTGGGTTGTTGCAAGAATTTTGTGTACTTCAAGTGAAGTATTCACCTGGCCTAAATGAGGTTTTGAAGATCCTCCTGTCACCATTAATTAATAAATATTAAAAAGATAAAATGGCAGACAAATGGCAATGCTGATACAATTCCCTTTGTCTTATTTTTCTCTGAGATTGATATGTCAACAGAATGACTGGGATTCTTGTTCACTCTGTAAAAGATGACAGGTCTTTAAATCATTAGTTCTTGAGAAGCAATAGATAATTTTGATTTACTCTTATTATGCAGATGGAGAAAGACAAGTTTGGAGATAAAGGGCAACTAGCAGTGGAAGATATGGAAAGGTTAATGAAGTACCAGGATGATGTTGTTAGATTGATGAAAGAAAATGAGGATTTGGTGAGGTTGCTGAGAGAGAAGGAAGATATGGTTAGGTTGCTAAAGGAGAAAGAAGATATGGTTAGATTGCTGAAGGAGAAAGAAGGCATGATTAACTTGAAAACAGTCAAAGCTGAAGAAACACAACGAATAGAAGATGAAGATAAATATAGGATAATTAAGGAGAAGGATGATGCTTTAGATAGATTGGTGAAGGAAAAGGAAGAAATGATTCGGTTGTTGAAGGAGAAGGATGATGTAGTTAGACTAATGAAGGAGAAGGAAGATTTGCTTAACTTGGAAAAAGGTGAAGTTGAGGGTACAACTAAAATGACAGATGACAATAAAGACAGGTTGATTAAGGAGAAGAATGATGTTGTGCTTAGGTTGACAGAGGAGAAGGAAGAGATGGTTAGGTTACTAAAGGAGAAGGAAGATATAATTAGACTTATGAAGGAGAAGGAAGATATGGTTTACTTGGAAAAAGGGGAGGTTGAGGATAGAAAGCAAATGACAGATGACATTAAAGACAAATTGATTAAGGAGAAAGATGATATAGTGTTTAGGTTGACAAAGGAGAAGGAAGAGATAATTAAGTTGCTTGAAGAAAAGGAAGATATAATTATACTTATGAAGGAGAAGGAAGATATGGTTAACTTGGGAAAAGGTGAGGATGAGGACAGAAAGCAAATGGCAGATGACAATAAAGACAGGCTGATTAAGGAGAAAGATGATATAGTAGTTAGGTTAACAAAGGAGAAGGAAGAGATAATTAAGGAGAAAGATGATATAGTAGTTAGGTTAACAAAGGAGAAGGAAGAGATAATTAAGTTGCTTGAAGAAAAGGAAGATATAATTAGTTTGATGAAGCAGAAGGAAGACATGTTCATGTCTATCAAGGAGAAGGAAAATAAGGCTGAATTGAAGAAAATCGCGGATGAAGATGCAGCAAGGTCAATTAAGGATAAGGCTGAGATAATGAGGTTGATGAAGGAGAAAGAAGATGGTAACAATACCATTTTGAAACTTAAGAAGGAATCGGAAACATTAAGATCATCATACGAGGAGAGCTGCAGGTTGTTAGAATCTAAGAAGGAAGATGTGGCCAGGCTTCTCACAGACAAGGAAAACAATGACAGTATAATTTCAGAACTCAAGAAAGAGCTTGAAGAAACAAAGAGATTGCATGAGGCACACAGTCAGCAATTAGAGACTAAGGCTGCACAAGTAAGTAAGGAGTTGGAACAGAGGATAGAAGAAGTAAAGCTTATGTTAGACGATTCTACCAAGAGAAGAATAGAACTTGAGGAATTATCCGAAACTAGAATCCAATTCTGGAAAAAGAAAGAAGTGGTGATCGATCAATTTGTAAGTTTGCAAGTACAGAATGTTCAGGTATTAGAAAAATAACTTCCTTTTGTTCTTCCTTTTCAAATTTTACGGAGTTCTTAAATTCTGCAGTTAGTCAAAAGTGTTGTGTTTCATCAGGATTTGAAGCTATCTTCTGTTTCCGTTAGGCATGAAATCTTAAATTGTCAAAACAAGTGGTCTGAAGAACTAGCTGGCCTTGGTAAGAATTAACCTTGTGATTACTTGTGGGTTTCATATACAAATACTTCTTTTCTCATCGATGGATTGCAACTAACATTACCAGTTGCAATCTTCAACAGGAAAAAGCCTTAAGGTGGTAACAAATACTGCAGAAAAGTATCATGGAGCTCTTGCAGAAAACAGAAAATTGTTCAATGAGATCCAGGAACTAAAAGGTACATGTGAACTACAATCATCAGTCCATTTTGTCTGGTTATCTAGGTCAAAAGATATCACCTTGGCATAGTATTTCTGAGCAGGAAACATCAGAGTATATTGTCGGATAAGACCTTTTCGACCTGGGGAGGATGACAAGTCCAGTTCAGTTGAATATATTGGGGACAATGGTGAACTAGTTCTATCAAACCCTACAAAACAAGGGAAGGAAGGGGGCAAAAATTTCACATTTAACAAAGTTTTTGGCCCTATCACTACACAAGGTACATGATAAGTGGTCAGTACAACTTAATCTTCTGTTGGGTTTCCATTGAAGCTATTGCATCAAATTAGTTCAACAAATCCTTCAAAAAATTATATCCCATAATAGTGTATGTCATATACATCAATTCTCTTATCCCTCTTATTTTGTTAATAGATGCTGTCTTCAAGGACATACAGCCACTAATTAGATCAGTTCTTGATGGCTACAATGTCTGCATTTTCGCATATGGGCAAACTGGATCAGGAAAAACATACACTATGGTACGCTGAAGCTCAGGGCAAAAACATTTGGTCTGTTTATTTCAGTTTGCGTGCCAGAAGATTTCTCTACAGTCACTATGTGTTTACAACGATCTGTTTCTATCAATTTCTCAGATGGGACCTGAAAAGGCAACTGAGAAGGAATGGGGAGTCAATTATAGGGCATTAAATGACCTTTTCAATATTTCTCATGACCGTAGAGACACAATCACTTACGAACTTGGTGTTCAGATGATTGAGATCTACAATGAGCAAATCCGTGATCTCCTTGGCAGTGGTGGCGTGCAGAAGAAATATCCTTTTCCCCCAGACTTGCATTAGTGTAGCCTTTCACCAAATAGAATTTAAATCTGCAATAAAATTTGCAGTTTTTTATTGTGTACACACACGATGGCCATCCTTCATCAGATTCTAGTGCGATCATCTTGCTTGAGAAGTTCCATACATTGATTTTTGCAGACTGAATTGATGTGAAGAAATATCCTCCTTTTTCTTAACTTCCAACACACTAGGGATCCAGAACACCATCCAACCCAATGGACTTGCTGTTCCTGATGCAACAATGTGTCCTGTCACCTCAACTTCTCATGTAATCGAGCTAATGCAAACAGGGCATGACAATAGAGCCATGAGTGCAACAGCTTTGAATGAGAGGAGTAGCAGGTCTCACAGGTAATTTACTTGCCTTTTCTCTTTTCTTTTTTTGTCGTAGGACTAACCCTTCTTACTAGAGATCATATTTTTTTTGCAGCGTTGTGACCATTCATGTCCGAGGCCAAGATCTGAAGACTGGAAACACTTTGCGTGGCGCTCTACATCTTGTGGACCTTGCTGGAAGTGAGAGGGTGGACCGCTCTGCAGTTACAGGGGACAGGCTCAAAGAAGCACAGCACATCAACAAGTCTTTGGCTGCTCTTGGGGATGTTATATTTTCTTTATCACAAAAGAATGCTCATGTACCATACAGAAATAGCAAGCTCACACAAGTCCTGCAGACTTCACTGGGTATTCTGCTTCACTTGAGAACTATTTTACATGCCATACACGGAGTTGTATTGACATGCATAGTTTGATATGCAGGTGGGCATGCAAAAACCCTAATGTTTGTGCAGGTCAACCCAGATGTTTCATCTTACACAGAGACTTTAAGTACTCTGAAATTTGCGGAACGAGTGTCTGGGGTGGAACTTGGTGTTGCTAGGAGCAATAAGGAGGGGAAGGAGGGAAAAGATGTCAAAGAATTAATGGATCAGGTAACCAAATTTCTCAATAATCATCAAGTCACTTCTGACTTCTCTTGACATAATGGTCTCAGTATTGAAATGGCAAAAGGTTAAGAATATTGTTCGGGAATGTCAAAACATTATGTGATGTAAGCAATGGAATAGTAATTCACCATGAAAAATACTGTTACATCTATTGTTTTGTAATGTTCTCCTTGCAGCTTTCACTTCTGAAAGATACCATTTCAAAGAAGGATGAGGAAATCGACAGGCTTCAATTACTCAATAGTAGCACCAGATTGAAGCCAACGAGACAAGCTGATTCCGTATTGAAGCATTCGTCCTCTTCCCCGGGCATTACATCCCTAGGGAAGGGCACAAGTGTTGGCAGTGGGGCAGCTTCTGATCTTGATAACTTCTCCGACACCAGTGACAGGCAATCTGAAGCTGGGTCCATGCTCTCCGTTGATCCTGAGATTTCTGGCCTTGCGGATGTCGACTCGGATGGAAGGTTAAGCGATGCTTCGGATGGTATTTCCATGGGTGCAGAAGCTGATAGTTCAGTAAGCAATGTAGCAGATCAAGAGCAAGAGAAAACATCCAACACTGCTGCGAAAGAGCGGTTGTGAGTAATTCCAATCTTGTTCTTATACTAGCTAACTCTTTTTTTTTTCTGAATTTGACATCTTTATTGCATACTTGTTTCGTATAATGTCATTATCTAAAAAAACTTGTTTTGTATAATGTGAAATTTATTTCCACTGGTTATCTGTAACTTGCTATTTCTCATGCAGGACTAGGGCGGTGAACCGTGTCCAGAAGCTTACATTGCCGAAAGCTGGCCAGTCATCAAGCTTGCGACCTAAACCAAGAGATCCTGCCCCAGCTAGATCTTCAGGTGAAGTATGGTTTAAGGCAATGATGTATGGTAGAATGGATCTTAATCTGTCAGCAGTAGTTATACAGATAGCTTGCCTCCTGAACTGAATAAGTGGACATGAATCAAACAGGGATACCATATACTGAACTTTTCTTTTGCCGGGTCGGCCGAAAGATACAGTCAACCAATTTCATTAAGAAAGAAGAGGGGGTTCATTACATTTTGAAGCTTACAACGACAGTATGCTGTCGAGATGGATTGGGGGAAAGCCCCAAACCAGTAAGCTATTGACGCTTACAACGACAGTATGCTATCGACAGTATACTGAACTTTTCTGTCAAAGTTGGCTGTAGATGGGTAAAACCTTTTTAAAAATTTTATTTTGCTTTGACAATCAGCTAAATCCTGAGACAACATGGTAAGGCAGTTTATCAATTTATTACACCACCGATATAGTCTGACACGAATTCACTTGAATTCCTATAGTTGCATACAGTATATGTGACTCAAATTGCTCAGCGAACCAAGAACCATCAGTTTTGAATAGTGGTTACTGAACTTACAGTATTAACCCCCAAATCCCAAAGCTATTTAAACCCTAGTTTTTATATGTGCCTTTTTTTAATTCCATGTTTTATAAATGCTATTTCTATTTCTTTAATGTTATTTTTCTGCAGCAGCAACAGGTGTACGAAAAAGTTCAACTTCCCAGGCAACTCCCCTTGCAAGAAATAATAGTACTTTGAAGAGAGGACCATAGATCAAGTTCATAAACATTTAGCCAACTTATACTCAGCTTTATTTTTTGTATAGTTTTTCAATATATACTTTTTTAAGATGGACAGAAAGGCTATGCTTTAGACATGGAGACATGGATTTTGAAAGTCAAGCTGCCATCTGATTTTCTTGTGCAAATAGTAAGCTTACACTGGCTAGATGTTGTGCCCTATATTGATATCAAAGAATGAGAAAACCTTGTGGATATTTTTAGTATGAAGAATGAAATGGTTTTTCACAATGAAATGGAGTACAAGTCCAATCCTTTTTTGTAATTTGTTGATGCACTGCAAAAATATCAGTGTTTTAAAATATTTACTGTTTCTTCATAGTCCAACAGTCATTTTTACTCCTTGTAACTGTGATGACATAAAATCTGAACAAAAGAATCACCATCGGTTGTACACCAGAGAGCCTTCTGTAGTTGCTTTTAGAGCGGCACCATTAATAAATAAACTTCCCCATACAATTTACAACAAAGTGCAAAAGCTTGCAAGGTGACACAGAAAATTTACTTTATTATGAACCCCAACATAGTAGCTCAAAATCAGATTAGCAAGCTTATTTTTGAACATCCCTAGCAGCAACTACTGATGAATAACAACATTACCTAACACAGTACTAAATAAACAAGAAGTGGACATGAATAACATGAAAATTTCCTACTTTACAGCTGCCCTGTGCCAGTAATGAACTCTTTTCCCTTGCATAAGGAGCATGAATAGCAATCCTCTTCTCTCATTTACAACTCAAAAAGCTCCTCCAGCCTCATGGTGTGATCTTGCAGATTCCAATTTACAGTGTTATATAAAGATTGAAAGCAGAGTTGCTGAAGAATTAGGCCTTTGTAGCCTGCATTTGCTTTGCACCAACAGCGAAGAACTCGGTGATGACTTCGAGCGGCATGCCCTTCGTCTCGGGGACCTTGAGGAAGACGAACACGAAGGCAATCGAGCAAACAACTGCGTATATACCAAAGACACCTGCTAGGCCGATGGCATTCAGCATCACAGGGAGGCTGTAGGTGACTATGATATCACCAATCCAGAATGTCAGGGCGCAGATGGCAATGCAGATGCCGCGGACCCTAGTGGGGAAGATCTCCGCACACAGAATGTTGGGGATCGGACCGAATCCCATGACGAAGCAGCAGAAGTAGATGATGACGCTGATTGTGGAGAGTGCGGCGTGGGCCACTGTACCCAGGTCGATAACATTGGACACAACCAAGACAACTAGAGATGCTATCAAGACTGGAATTGTGCCCAGAAGCAGAAACCTAAAAAGGAAACAATGTATGATGTAATTAATACTAACTTGGGTGCATTTCTTGTTTGGTATATTTGGTAGTACTAAGATGATGCAAACCAAGGAAACAAGTTAGTACCTTCTTCCAGAGATGTCCATAAGTCTCATGGCTAAACCAATGCTAGGAAGCATCAGTAGGGTGGTCAGAGAACTGATCAAGATGGAAGCTGATGCTGAACTGAGGCCAAGATTGGAAAGGAGAACTGCCACCCCCGCTTGCTCAAGTATTTGTGGAGTGTAATAGAGAACCCCATTTATTCCAGCAAACTGCACAAGGAAAGAACATAAAAGGAATTAGTGAATTCTTAATAGTACACAAATCTTAAACACCGTCAATGTTGGACAGTACAAAAAAGAATTATGAAATTGGTATCATCTCTACCTGTTGAAGGATTTGAATTCCAACACCGACTAACAACGCACGCCTCACTCCAGGTTCAAACAAATCTTTCCAGCTTGAACCTTTGGCAGCTGCCTCTGATGGATGAATCATGGCTGGACCGGACATACGCTGTTCAATGATATCCTTGGAGTAAAGTGCTGGTTGGCTTACCAAAGCGGCAGCATGTATGAATTCGCTGCCTTCAGGAGCGTCCCCTCCACCAGGAAGTGAAATAACTGAGCCCCTTCTTGATCCTGGCACTTCCTCTTGGTGCAAGTAGATCCTTTTAAATCCTCCTTCCTTCTTACCATCCTCGCCTTCTCGCTCTGACCATTTCCATGCAAGCTGCCATCCCCCACCAATGCCAGTGCTGCTCACCGCCTCGCCACCCTCTTCCAAGAGGCTTCTTCTTCTCATACTCAGAGCACTTCCACGATGAGCATGGTGTGCAATGTCCTTCCCTTCTGCGCTCGTGGTCTGTCGGGACAGCAACGGGCTGTGGACATTGTCTTCATAGTCACCTCCAGCACCATCAGACGCGTATTCCTCATCATCCCTATGAAGGTTCTCCTCATCCCATTGATCAACCTTGGGGTGCTGATCTGTCACACTAAACATACTACCAAAGTTGGGAAACAATGTACTCCGCATGCTTCCTCCAGCATGAGGCATGTTCTCATGGACACTGCCGAAAAGCGTGACTATAGGATCCATAAGTGGCACGCTCTGGTTCACCATGCTGCCATGACGAGATGTAAGAGAAAGCACACTTCCAAGAATGCTGGGTCCCTTGGAAGGTCGAGCAATCCATGATTGGCCCTCTTCAGGCCCGTACAGTGTTATTTGGTCCTTATCGCCATCAACAACATGCTCATCAGCTGGCTCTATAGCCGGTCCGATGATGTACTCTTCAATGGAAGTGTCAGCTCCAACCTCCAAACCTTCAACAAGAAGAGCCATTTCTCCTGCGCAATTTGATAATTTGAATGATTATGCAACTTTATTTTTTCACGTAGATTACATGATTTTATTTGGACATTGGTATAAACATTGGCATAAATAAGTAGTAACTATGAATAAAGCAGCAATATAAATATGAATGGTGTGCCAGAAACAAATAACAGAAATATAAGGGCCCAGCTTTAATAGAAAGCTAGCATAGTGCAGCTGGGGACAACCAGCTTACAGCGAAGTTCGATGAACTTAAAATAACAGCAATATTATGCTCTCAGCCAACCGAATACTGTCCATTTAGTCTGTTGTAGAGGAGAAAATAGAGAAACCACTTGCTAACAGCATATGCCTATTTTGATGTTGACACATGTATTATGTAATTAGTTTGAGGAAAGCATGAACTTAAGGATAAATCATTACTAACGTTTCTGAACAATCACTGTTGTTAGGCATGGCCGCTGTGGGGCTCCTTGACCCACTCTAGGTCAACTAGATGGACTTAATTTCACTTTTAAAATCTCAAAAGCAAAATATAGTTCATTTAGTTAAACTAGAGTAGATAAGGACCCGTGGGTCGGCCCACATCCACATTATACCAGCAGGTCCCACCCCCCAAATTCTAGAGTTACCCTTACCAAAAAAAAAAAAAAGAGGGCGATGTCTATCTAGATCACCTGATTATTTTTCTCCAGATTAGGACTCAGCAAAAAGTTGGGACACCTCATTTGGGCTCTACCTGGTGAGATAACGATTGTACATTCCATGTTCTGCCTTCTATGGAAAATGAATTAGTGTAGTTATGTGTACTTAGTAATTTTTACTTGAAGATTCATAAGCTTTTTCAAAAGAGCACCGATAGAAGGCGCTTAATAGATTTTGATTTCTTTTACCCTTTTTTTTCAAAAATACACTATTTCTGCATATGTTAAGTTCGTGTCAAGAAATTAACAGTTACCAATGCCACACATGTTTTCTAGTATTAACCATGAGTTTAGAATCTGGGAGAAATTGTTTTTAAACTGGTCAGCTGGAAATATGGGTGAAATGAACATCAAAATTTTCAGCAAAACATACCTGAGACATCCTCTCTCCCACGTAATTTTTGTAATACCTTCTTTGCCTCAGCCATCCGCCCTTTGCTGACAAGCCATCTTGGTGATTCTGGCAGATAGAATATTGTCAATCCGAAGAAAAACAACGAAGGGATTGCGAGAACACCAAGCATAATTCTCCAGTCAGGTGACGGCAACAGTGACATCCCAAACACCATGCAGTAGGACAAGAACATCCCTCCTGACCCACTGAACTGTGGCAGTGTATTCAGCAAACCCCTGATCTCTGAAGGAGCTGTCTCTGAGATGTACAAAGGTACAAGTGTGACAGCCAAGCCGATGCCGAATCCATCTATAAGGCGTGCGAGCAGTAACACATAGACATTCGGGGACCATAGCATGATGAGGCTGCTGAGGAAGTAGAGAATTGAAGAGAGAATGAGCATAGGGCGCCGGCCGATCCAGTCTGATACCGGCCCTGAGAATGTTGTGATGATGGTTGCACCAATCAGTGACATGGCCACGATTAGCCCCTCCACAGTGGGCTCACTTTCTAGCTTGAATTCCTTCTTTATGTATAGTACAGCACCTGAAGAAGTTTAATAATTGTGCCTTGTTAACATTTACACTTTCTTGTTGGATAGAACAATCTTTACAGGTGTTCAGAACAAAGAATGGCAAACAGTAATGATTCAACAGACAACACAATAGCTAACAATTATGATTAGAACATCTCTTTCTTCAATAAGATTAGTACAGATCTAGAAAAATTAAGAGACTATTAATATCATGCGATCCAGTTTGCTGATAAACAATTGTGCCAATTGCTCTTAGGACTCAAACAACAACACCAGACATGTTACTAGAAGACCATAATTAGCACTCAACAAACATCTGATCTAAAGCAGTCTATTAATCTGAAAAATTTAGAAGGTACACCAACACTGATAATTAAGAAAAAATTGACAGCTGTTCATATTTCCTAGTACTCACAAACTCTCAACCAAATAACCAATCTAGCACGACACGGGAAGTAAAACCTTTTTACCTGCAATGGTGGCATTGTCCCATCCCTGCAGCAGGTTGCCGATGGAGGCCGCGATTGCGACGAGAGCAGCACCCGACATCTTCACCCCTCTCCGATCCCTGCATCCAAGAAATCAGCAGCAAGAAATGAACACACCCGAACCAGCAATCACAATAACAACAAACACAGGACTCCCAAAATTCTTGCAGAACTCCATCACCGCACCTCCCAAAGAAGACCAAAGAAACGGCCAAGAACCGAGGAAGGAAGGAAGCGGGGTGCTCCTCGGTCCCAGATCAGAATCGAAGGCGGCTCAAATGGAAAGCCAGGAGGCAGCCACTCCCTGGATGCTGGAAGTATGCAGCAGCAGCAGCAGCAGCAGCAGAGAAGAAGAAGAAGAAGAGAGAAAGGGCAAGGGCCACCTGCGAGTGAGGACAAAAGGGCTCAGTGGGGAGGAGAAGCTGCAGCTGCCGCTGCCCAGATGCCACATGGATGCGAGCCTCACACGCGCACATACGGACAGACAGACGCAGCGGCGGCAGTAAACTAAACACCCGGTGATTACTACACTAATCTTTGGTTAATTAGTGCCCACCCGCTACGCCCAGAGCCACCCACGAAGATAAAAGAAAAAAGAGTAAAATCCCACCTCTTCTTCCACCTCTTGGGCGACGAGACGAGCGAGGCGCGGCCGCGGCGAGCGAGATCCCCTGGAGGAAGGCGCCGCAAGATCCCGCCTTGTCCGGCCCAGGCGGAGGAGGAAGAGCAGGAACACGCGCGGCGCGGGCGATCGGATCTCCTCTCGTGGGCGGTGACGACAGCGCACGCGCACGGCGCACGGTGCGCGGGGCGCGGCGTCGCGCCAAGAGCCACCCACGACTGATCTGTCAGCTCAGCTCAGGCAAGCTGCTGCTGCTGCCGCGGCCTCGACGACGCGCCGCTAATTTTCTAGCTAGCGACGCCGCGGATTGGACGGTCAGGATTGGCTCTCGTGGGGCGGGCAACAGCGCATGTGAGCTGATGGAATCCACTCGAACTCGGCCAAATCTTTCCCTTTGTTTTTTTTTCTGGGTTTATTTTTGCCTTCTCATCAAGTTTCTGGTCTTGTTTTCCCCCAAAAAAAAAAAGTTTTTGGTCTTGTTGGTTGTCTCGTGGAGCCGGATGATACGGGGAAGAGAGAAGAGTGTGTGCTTCCAGATCGTTACAACTTGGCAAGATTACAATATACTGTACAACAGACCAGGGTCCTTACATTGTACAGTAATAAGGCTGTCTCGTTCTAAACTGTTAAACAATATGTTTTCTTAAAAATAAAATTACATGAAAGTTGTTTTAAAACTATATTAGTTTTTTTTAAAAAAAATAGCTAATACTTAATTAATCATTCGTTAATAAGTCATTCTGTTGTGTGTTCGTGAGAAATTAGTTCCTAACCCAGCCGTTTCTTCCACTGAGCCTAAATGTCTTCGGACCATTGTGAAATTTATGGGTTTCTTTTAGTCTTATGGGTAATTATTTTTTATGATATGCAGGTACAAATTATGCCTATAGAGATAGGCGTATTTTTTGTAGAGATGAGTGTACACGCGTTGAAAGCGCTAATAATCGCTAAAAATGGCGGTGTTGTTTTAGATCAAACCTTTTTTCCTCGTGATTACTCCTCCCGTTAAAAAAAACTCAACCTCGGTACTACGATGAGATATGTAGCCCAATCTTTACGACGGAAGGATTACGTGAAATAGGTACACACATAAACGCCAATACTCAAATACTCAGACATGCATCTGTCAGCTCAGGCAAGCTGCTGCTGCCGCTGCCGCCTCGAAGACGCCCTGCGGAGCTAATTTTCTAGCCACCAACGCCACCGGATTGGACGGTCAGGATTCGCTCTCGTGGCAACAGTGCATGTGAGCTGATGGAATCCCCTCGAATCCGGCCAAATCTTATTCCATTGTTTTTCCAGAAACATTGCTACAAATGTAACGTTCACAGCGCGCAAAACCTCATCCCTATAAACATATACGCATGTAATTTATCTATATAAGTATCTCCAAAAGAGTATATCTTGAGATTGATGAAGCAATCACGGACATCTTGCTATCGACAAATACGTTAACTAGCACTAAAAGAAAATAGTCATAAATGCAAGCACGTGTTAAATCTATAATTTGAATTTGGATGGGCTAGTTTCACCATAAGAAATCTAACCAGTTGAGTTACGTTCATTTCAACTTCTTTTATAGTTTGTGTAATTGGTAATTGGGTTGAGGTTCATTTATTGTTGAAGTTTTTTCAGGAAATACATTTTAAATAAGTTTTTAGAAAGAGTAAAAATGTCAAATTTTCGGAGATCTTGGATCGTGGAGCCGAATGACAGGGGAAGAGAAGTTGTGCTTCCAGATCGTCACAACGTGGCAAGGTTTACAAAATAGTAGTATAGAACAGACCATGGTCCTCGCTAATTAAATCTCTTGGGACCATAGTGAAATTTATGGGTTTTTAAACTCTCTTTGGTCAGAAAGAATGACGAAATCGGTGGCTATTTTAGTACGGTTTGGTTTGAAAGAAAGAATCACGATGTTATTACAACCCCAGGAGAACAAAAAATAAATGACGGTGCTGTTTTCGGTCAAACCTTTCATATGTTTTCTCATGGATTTCGACGTACACATAAACATCTGTCAGTTTGTTTCACTTTATACACGCTCAAAAATATGGGGACGGATGAAAAATATCTGGTCTCACTAAATTCTTGGTGTTTGGTGATATGGTGACCTTATTTTATAATAATTATTAAGGGTACGTATGAGTGAATTGACTATTATAAAGTTGAAAAATAAATTTAAACAATATTCTGCGCATATATAGAAAGTTTTAAAATCCATAGTAAATTTCATAAAATCACATCCATTATTTAAGTTTCACAAATCCACAGGAAATTTGGTATGCGACACGTAAGCTTAGATATTAAGGTCATAACATTTCACAAAACCACATTAATAATTATTTTAACTTTGATATACCGTACTTTACAGTTACAATCACTTCTCAAATTTCTCAAATTTATTAGCACTTTATCCATCCTATAAATGCTACATCCATTCTTTTTTCTATTTTAATATAGGAATATATCAAAATGGTTACCGTGTGGTTTTCTAAAACTTTAGAATCATAAAGCTAGGTTATATGTCAAGTGCCAAAATACCTAACATTTCGTGCAACTTGATGCATAAATAGGTGGGATTTAATGAAATTTACTCTAGTAATCACCCTTAAGAGCTCGGGAAGCGTTTCCGTTAATCTATGTGTCCATTTCTTGAAAAAAAAAGACGGGGTAAATAATAATACGAGCTGAGATGAAGATGTCAAAAATGATAAACTCCGATCAGATGACAACATCTTGTTATGATATCATGGCTTTTGCATTAGTTGTATTGACGGTAGGTAATAACTAAGATAATATTTGCATTTTTTAGGCAGAGGTATCAACAAAAAAATGACATATGGTTTCTTCAGATGGCCATACATACAACAGCTTCAAATTTCGCTCCATGAATATCTGTAAAGCGGATAGTGACGGCAACAACAAAACGCAAAAGGTTCAGCAACAGCCATTCTGCCGAATGCAAAACTAACAAGAAATCTAATAGAAGCGTAGTAGCGTGCAGTCTGACGAAAGAAATAAGCTGTGTTCCCATCACCAGAAGCAACTGACGCTTTTTAATTTGGTAACTGACATGACGACCAAACACCGGCAGAAAAACATACGTCAAAATCTGACGCCGATTACTCATACGAGCTAACTCTGTGTCAACTGATTCTCCCTTGCAATAATACTAATAAGGAAGCCATAATGAGCAAACCTCTTTGTCATCCTATATATATATATATATATATAAAGTTCATCCCCACTAAGTATAGTTAATGCTAATTCTCTTTTCTCTCATAAAATCACATCATCTCAATTGTTTTTAGCCTTTGGATGATTCATCAAGGGTGTAAATTACATCTCTTCACATCACCTCAACTGTTTTTAAGTTTTTGGATGATTCATAAAAGGTATAAATTTCATTTATTCCCTCCAAAAGACACACCATACAACCCAATCATTTATAACCTATGTATAATTGATAAAGGTAAAAAAATATAAACACATGAAAGAAAAATTATATAGTAGGTAAGAAAGAAAATTTTAGAAGTAATGGGTGTGTTCGGTAGCGCTACTAGCTGGCTGCCTTGCAGCCAGCAGCCACAGTCCCACCACAAGAAAGATACTAGGGAAGCAGCAGCGCTGCGGCTGTACAACCACAGTTCAGCACTACCGAACAGACCTAATATCTACTATATTATCACATAATTTTTCCGCAACAATACGCGAGGTACCCATCTAGTTAGTCCAAAATTAAAACCGCAGTCCGAAAATTCCCTGTCATCAGTCCTCCAAATTGAAAGGATAATCGGCCAAATTCTTTTGTCATTAGTCCAAACTGAAAACTCAAGAAAGAACGTGCGTGCTCCAATCAGGGGCTTTCTTGATCCGAGATATTTTCACAAGAGTTTCCAGAATTGTGAAAGCAAGCTGTTATACTTTTATATAACTAATAAGATACCCGTATATTACTGTTGCGGACATTAAATTACTATTGCGGTTAATTTTGTGTGTTCGCTTGTGTGCATCTTAGTTATGCAGATATCACAAAAATTGTATTACCTTAATGTAATCGATTGAGTTTAATAAAAACTTTAATTATCTAACAATAATTATTTTTATAGGCCAATGGCCTATACGATTGGAAATGGGTTGGTAGCGTGATAGAGTAAAAGCGTGGTTATTCAGTTTTTTGGGGATATGGTTGCACGCCATGTGAGATGTGAAAGGGGATGAGCGGATGACTCCGTTTTTAAGGAAGTATAAGGTTTTGGTTTTATGATTGAGATCGTGAAGGCAAGTTCAAGCATTTCAGCTAGGAGTAGAAGTGAAGAAAAAAACTGATCAGTGAGCACTGTCCTAGTGCAGTGCAACTGAAGCGCTTAGCCTAGGAAAGAAAACCTGCAGACAGAAGTTTCATTTTCTGAAATTATTGCAGGGATCCCATAAAAGAATCAATGGACCAGAGAGTGATTTGTGATTTGAAAACAACAACACAATGAGGGGGCCAGGCCATATCAAGATCTACATTGGCCACAAGATATGTCATCTTGTCGTCAGGTCTCTGCAATAAATAATTCAATGATCTGGAGTTACTGAAAAATAGTGGCAGCATTTCCCTCTGGAACTCCTTCGAGATCTTTCCAGCTCACGAACCAAATCTCCTGCTCCTATTTGAACAATAATTCAATAAAATGATGCTAAGCAGAGACTTGGGAGCACAAGATAACAAGATCTGAAATTAATCAACAGGTAATTAAGCAAGCATGCATGAGTTCAGCTTCTGCAGCTTAACATGTGCTACCTGTTCCATCACAAACAATATTTTCCTGGATCATGGACCAAATCAAATGGCACGCATCACAAGAGGAAAATCACGACCATGATCAATGATCGATAGCCATGGAGACCAAACTCAACTAGTTTACTCCCTTCGGTCCCAAATTTAAATATTTGCATGATTCAAATTTGTACATGATATAAATATTTATAGGACAATGATTATTTCAGTGCATGGAAATTCTATCATTTTCGACCAAATTATCTATGTTCCAAAATATAAGTATTTATAGGTTTAGCATAGATTGATGTTGAGAAGAAAATAGTTTAGTGCCCCTCAATAAATAATAAGATATGGATAGGGTGGGAGGGTAGACGGGGTAAGATGGAAAGAAATTTGAAGAGAAAGTGATTAATAAGACAAATGGTATTATGAATAATGCTAGAAATTTTTATAATTTGAAATAAGATTTAATTGCTAGAAGTTGTTATATTTAGAAAGAGAGA